TGGTATTAGGTGGTCAGTTAGCCTGTGGACCATTCCTTGACATGTGAGTCTCAACATTAAGACTCGCATTTCTTTGGAAAATGCAGCATTTCTGAAAACCCTGAGGAGCCCTGGCCTTTTGCGGTTCCTGAATCTTAGAGGAGCTGGCCGTGTGCCTCCCTGCCCTTCCTCCTCAAGGGGCAGAGGGTGAATGGAAATGAGCACAGTTGCTTCAGTGGCAGGTGTGGCAGCGAAACCAAGCCCTGGGGCTTTGCTGGTGGTTTCCTCCTGCTGCGGGTGAGCCACCTTTGGGCCTGATGAGCCCCTGGTACTGGTTAGAAAGGGGTGGGTTTTTGGTAGAGGCTGTTTCATTGGTTTTGGTGCTGCTTAGACACATCCCTGCCCCTCGTTCGGTAATTCTCTTTACCCAAGACTTTTTCTAAACAAAGTTATTTCAGAACTCGTTTTAGAAAAGATATTTTTCTCACCTGAAATATAAGGAATTGAGTTAATTAATGCAAGAGCAGCTAACAGCTGAGTTTAGAATATAAGCTAATGCATCTGTCAGCAGCCCACCTTTTAATCACCCGTGTAAGCAGTTGGACGTTGCTTCCAGGCCTTTGTAGTGGAGGCAAAGTGAGGGGTGCATTTTGTGAACTGGTGTAGCTGCTGGACTTGGTGAAAACTTGCTGTGGAATCAGAACGTTGCACATGAGGATGCAGCCCCGGAATGACGTTGGTTTGCACGGGGACGGGGAGCCTCTCGTTGAAGTCCCGGCTGAGCAGGTCCACAGTGAGGGCCGCTGTAGCACTCACTCAGCCCAGGTGAGATAGGCTGGTTGGGCCAGCTCTCTGGAAACCAGGCTGTGTAACTGCAGGGCCTATTGCCATTTCCCCAGCACCATCTGCCCGGAATTGCCCGACTTCATATTCCTCAGGCTGGGCATTTTCTAGAATTATCTCAGGGTTGCCTTGTATGACGTGCCATATGCCAGACTTCTGTGAGGACCAATTAGCTAATGGACGTGTAGTTTTAGGCCAGATTAGGTTACCCACCACTGCCATTCTTACCTTCTACCGTGTTACTGTGACTGCTTCTTAGAAGTCACCATCGAGGCCAGGAAAATATATGCCACTAGTTTGAAAAATGAGTCAGATTCCAGGTAATCATCTTGACCCAGATCTGCAGAATCAGCATTTTCTTTCCATTTGCAGGCTCTCCGGAAACCATTGTGTGTAAACGGGCCTGTGGCCATTTCTTCTGTCGCAGAGAAATGGGAACCCTGACTGGTGGGGCTGGGCAGGGGGAATGTGCAAGTTCAAGTTCATTACTGGGAAGCATGTGTTTAGATACTCAGGTACACGCAGCTCTCAGCTCTGCTCAGTACTGCAAAAGACACGTAGAAGCTTAGTTTGGGTTAGCTTTAGCAACTGTGCTTGAAGACAGGCATTTGCATTCTTTAAATAATGCCAGGGGTAAAGAGCCAGAAATTTTGTAATATTAACTTGCCTTCTGAGATTGTAAAACTGGTCACAGTGGCTCCCGGCCATTCCGGTTGGAAACGGCTGAGAGCCTTCAAAGAAGAAAAAAATCTGTTTGTTGTGATAGGGTTTGTGATTGTGACATCACTGTGGACGTTGTGATGAACTGTCAGAGCTCTCGGTTGCCAAATTCAACGTCTAGCCCAACCTGGTACTTTTGAGATTTTTTAAAAGATGGTGTTACTTAGGTGATTAGTGTTATATTTCAATTTGCCAACCAACCATAGACAATTGCTCTTCCTGTGGTTTCCAGGCTGCTCAGACAGGCAGCTGGCTTTTGTTTCCACACCGGTAGTGAAGCGGCACTGATGTATTTTATTAAATATTAGCCCTTTGTAATATGAATACTGTGATGAGATGTACTTGGGGATGTTCAGTTCATTGTAATTGTACTGTAGGCCTTAAAACAAAAACAAAACTCATCTTTTTGGAAGTACACTGTCTTACCAGGAGACCTCTATGTTTCTAAACTTTGGTTCCTTGTTTGGTGGTTATTAATGATCCAAGGTGGTCAAGTTGCCTCATATCCTGAGATGGAAAGTGCTTCACCTGGGACTTAGGAGCTCACCAAAGCTCCTTTAAATTCGAGCTGCTAACTTGTCCATTTCTCTTCTCTTATGAAAAATTCATTGCAGAATATGTGATCCTATTATAGAAAATTTAGAAAGTATAGGAGGAAAAAAGCTATTGCTATAATTTTACAATATTTTGTTCATCTTTTCTGTATATATATTTTCACTTGCTGTGTGTGTGTGTGTGCGCGCGCGTGCTAGGACTGTATGGGTTGTGAGTGACAGAAACCTACTTCCAACAAGCTTGAGTGAAGGGGGCAGTTTACTGTAAGGATTGGGTGTCTGTGAGCCCAAGGACAGGGCTCTGGCGAGGCCTGGTGATCGGTGGAAGCAGGCTGCACTCTCCCGATCTTTCAGCTGTGTTTCTTCTCAGGCTTCTTTCTCTGTTTCTGCCTTTGTCCATCTCTTCCCCCACCCAGTTTTCCACATGGAGGAAAACAGTCACAGAAGTCTCCCAGGTTTAATTTCTTACCACTTCATTCATCCAGAGAGTTCAACCCAATTCTTGTGTGATCCCAAGACCTAGTGTATAAAATGGTGGTTCCTGGGGTAACTGCTTGGTAAGTGGAGGGGAGCTCAGCAGGAATTTCGTTTCTTGGCCCCCATGTATGCAGGCGTCCTCCCCTTTCATTTACCCAGTCCCCCAACTGCCCCTACCTAACATAATCCCGCCGTCCCACACCAGGCTGCACAGCCGTCCCCTTCTCAGTGGGAGAGCCCCGAGTCTTGTTCAGCTGCAGCCTCAGTGGTCTTGTCATAGGGCCTCTGTTCTCCAGGCCAGAAGCTCTGGGCGACGTTCACTCCTCTGCCTCAGGGGTGAGCAGGTGCAGGTGAGGCTTGTCATTATCTGTACCCTGTGGCCTAAAATAACTTTACCCCAAACAGTTGGTGTGCATAACCTCTGGATTCCCAGCTCGAGGCCACCACCCACCCCTAAGGCTTGTTTTCCTAGCCAGTCTAACTAAAACTGATTTCCTAGTTCCAAAGGTGGAATTAAAAGCAGATTGTTCCTCAGGTTTAAGGCTTTACGCAGAGGATAGACTCAGCAAGCAGCAATAAAGCTCACTGTGGTTTCTCCATTCCAGGCGAGGGGGCCCTGGCTCTGGACAAAGGAAAGGGGGGAACTTCTCCCCCTCCAGGCCACGCACACAGGAGAGAAGAGCTAGGTTCTGGCAGCTGTGTCACCCCCTCTGCCAGTTGGTCTCCACTGTCGAAAAGGAATGCAGGGACTGGAGTATTTGTCATTCCACCTCAGACTGTCCTTCAGAGGGCCACTGGGCTTTGCCTTTTAAGGGATTAACTGGGCATCACCTTGGCTCTTACCAAGAATGACCAGGTATTTGGGGGTCAGACTCCCATGCACAAGTAACCCCCCAATCTTTTAGATTTAGTGTTAAAGGCCATATTTTAAAAATAGCATTTGTGCCAAAATTCAAACTGTCTCAGTATAAACAGGTTGGCCAGTTTTTAATTCAGCACCTATAGGAACCAGTAAATTTGCAGGACAGTGTAGTGACAAAGGAAGGGACAAGCTCATTATGAGGTGGCATTGCTGAATGGACCCATACCTCAAAGGCTTCTTCCTAAGAAACCTTGCCAGCTTTCACCTGCACATGTGTACATTAACTTTTGGATTCTATATTTTTCATGTGATAACGCATATAAGCATTTTTCTATATTGTTGTAGATTTTTCCTTATGCTGTTTTAATGATTACATAATGTTTCATTGAGTGTATGTGTCATACTTTATTTCAGCCATTTAGATGTTATTGGAAATTCAGGTCTTTTTTTTTTTGTATTTATAAATAGGATGTAATGAGTATTATTGTGCACAGAGCTGTTTTTATATCTGGAATTATTTCTTTAGGATATAAAAGTAGAGTTACAGGACCAAAAATATGAGCACTTTTATGCTTTCCAGAAAGACTGCACTAACTTATAATTTTCATCGCCACTAGCAATGGACAAGAAAGTGAATTTCACTACCTTTGGCTATTTTCTTAAAAAAAATTTTTAAAATTCATTGAGCATAAAAGGTGCATTTTGATTTAACTTATATTTTTAGTATAAGTGAAGAATAATTTGGGTTATTTTTTTGTGGGTTTTTTGTTTTTTAAAAAATATATCTTTATTGATTTCAGAGAGAGGAGGGGAGAGGGAGAGAGAGAGAGAAACATCAGTAATGAGTCATTGATTGGCTGCCTCCTGCACGCCCCCTACTGGGGATGGAGCCCACAACCTGGGCACGTGCCCTGAGCAGGAATCGGACCAAGATCTCCTGGATCCTAGGTTGATGCTCAACCGCTGACCCACGCCAGGCCGGGCCGGGTTATGTTTTTTATACATCTTCTTTTATAACATATCTCTCTTGAAATCTTGGTGTTGTATTACTATGTAAACTCTTTATACAATGAGAGCTGTTTTTCCTATTTTGCTTTAAACGCTTTCCCTAGGCCTGTGCCCTTCCAAGTTTCGTAAGTGCGTATGGGTGTGTGTGGGTGTGTGTGGGCGCTGGCACCCTTCATTATCATGGAGTCCTGCAAGACGGCCAGGTTTTAGAAAGTGAAATATAACTAAGAGAAGGAAGTCAGTTAGAAAGCTGAGCATGCTTTCTACCTCTGTTTCATTGGATTATTTCAAAACCCCTGTCCTTGTCATGTTAGCTCATAAGCCTGTCTGCCTGCAGGAGGGATTGCCACTTAGACTGCGGTAACCTGGGTTCTAGTCCTGACTCAGCTGTTGTCTAGACAGGTGCCCTTGATGGGAACTTAGGCTCTCCAACCTCGGTGTCCTCATCTCTAAGCTGGTGGATTTTAGAAGCTCTCGGGGCGGGGATCTCTGGTGTGGTACATGCCCAAGGTGAAGAATCACGTTGATCATGAAGGTTCTTCTCCATCTCGTTGCAGATTTTCGGAAGTCCCAGCACAGTGACGCTTCCTGAAACCCTGTTGTTTGTGTCGACCCTGGATGGCAGTTTGCATGCTGTCAGCAAGAGGACAGGCTCCATCAAATGGACTTTAAAAGAAGGTAATTTGGATTTAGTCCTAGAGTAACATGGACATTTGCTCTGCTGCTTCCAAGGAAACATATTCCAGAAAAAGAGAAAAACAGTTATATGTTATTTAATAAAGTAAAAAGGGGTGATGGAGTCAAGGAGAGAACAGGGCTTGAAGGTATGTTTACAGTGTGAATTGTGATTATCTGCTAAGTGCATCAGGTGAAGAGGCACTCTTTTTTTTTCTCCCCCTCTATAGATTTCATGTTTAAATGGCTCTAGGCTTTTCTATTAATAGTTCTGGCTTGGTCTTTACAAAAGACATGCTGCATTAAATTTTTTGTTAAGTTCTAATAATTAGAATCTTGTAATCATAATTACAAGAAGATATCTTCTCTAACCGCAAACAACTCATTTGTTTTTATAGAGGCTGGAATAATTGAGGGCTGTAAGATTTGACATTCATCCAAGTTAGCCACTAGATTGATTCTTTACATGGAGGGAAGTAGAAGGCAGAGCCTGTTTCTCATTTCGTAACCTCCCACACTTCCATTTTATGGTCTGGTCTTCCTGGTGATGGTTAGCAGAGTGGAGTCCTGCAGCTGGGAAACTGTATTCGATTTCGAAAGTAATCTTCCCAGGTAAAGCCATGCAAATCCCAGGATTTGGGGCTTTCCGTGCCATCTCTATTCCATCCGTAATGATTCTCATTTGGCCCTAGATGAGGGTCTGACCAGCATGTTCTCTTCCGTCACTAATCTGTGACTCATTATTTTCATGAGCACAGCAAGTGTTTTTCCTTCTTAATAAAATGTCCCAAAATAGTATTTTAGATGGGAAAACATGGGCCTATGTCGGAAGGCCACACGTCGTCTTGTCAGTTCAGCAGCAAACCTAGTTACCATCCATAGACGATGGCAGCTGGGGTACCAGGCTACCCTGCTGCACCTGTCTGGGCCCTGCCTGGATCAGCAAGAACTTTAAACAACAGAAAGGACCAGCTCTCAGGAGTCTGTGGCCACAAGAAGACGGTAGAGCTGGGGTTTGGCATTGCATTACACAATGTTATCGGTGCTGTCTCTCCTTCATGGTTAAGCCTTTTAATGTTTTAAAAACAAAAGCAGAGTTGTTTAAATTTCATAATTTCTGATTTTGCCCAAAGAAGGAAATTAACAAGGTACAAAAGGACTGTGATAAACATTTTTACTGTTGTGTTAGGGCTGGTCCCTCAGTTGCAGTGTTCCTAGGCAGGGCAGATTTTGCCTCTTTTTTACTTAATTTAACATGTGTTTACAGAACCTAGTCTGTTAAAGATACTATATGGGCCCAAAGAAAAAGACAGTCCTTGCCCTCAAGGAGCCCACAGTCTGGTAGGGAGAAGTGATACGTACACAGAGCGGGTTGTCACCGCCTCACAGAGATCCTAGGAACTGCTGGGAGAGGAGAGGGGCAGGAAAGGCTTCTTGAAGCTGGGGTGTTGGAGCTGAGCCTTAGTGGGTGGATTGGATTTCAGTCTGGACGAGCGAGGCCTAGAAAGGAGCAAAGGAGGCAGCAGGTCTGGGCAGAGCAGGGAAGAGTTAAAATACACTTAAAGGAAGAATTAGAGAAATCCAATTAAGGTCTAATAATTTCAAGTAATACTCAATATGTTCTAAGTCTTGTTTTTCTGAGAATAAACTGGCTTATTTTAGTGAAATTCAGCCCTGGCTACCAGTGGCTTCAATATATATTTCCATACAAAGATTACAAATGGTGGTGTATGATGACCCTGAGCTTTCAGCTCAATTTTAATCTTGCAGTTAAAACTAGAAATTTCAACATTGGTATTTGTAAACCATTAACACGTAAATTGATTATAAAAGTATTCAGATACAGTTCTAGACCCTGAGGATTTAATAGGTGAAGGAAACACCAAATCTTTTCCTTCATAGAGCTTTGATTCTAAGGGGAAACAGAGGAAATAAATGACACAGTGGTGCTAAGAGCTCTGGAGAAAAAACGACAAGTGGAGTAGGGGGTGCCAGGCTGCAGGTAGCCCCACTGAGGAACTCAAGGGTGGAAGGAAGTTTTTAGGCAGAAGGCCTGGCAGGGACACAGGCAGGCATGTGCTTGGCATGGCAGAGGGCCAGGCATGTAGGGACACAGTGTTTCCTTTACATAATATTTATGACAAAAATGCCCCACTACAGTCCTGGAATGAGATTTATAGATGCTCACCTATCTACACCCACAGTTCTAAAAAGAAAGAAATATATTACCCAATTGGTGATCTGAAATAATAGGCACATAGTTTTTAATCACATACGTGTAATTTAACATGTAAATACTCAGACACATACTGATCTCTGCTGACACCCCACTTGTGCGTGAGCCCGGTGCCTGTTAATGAAGACTGATAAAAACGCAGGCTTGTGTCCCTTTACCTCTGGTAACGGATTTCCAGGACGCGAGCAATTCTTGATAACATTCCAAAAGGGTACAACGTTTCCTGATTTAGACAGTAGTCCCATTCTAAGAAGAGTCAGTTTTATAAAGTTATGCAAAAAGTGTGTTTGTGTTTTTATGTAAAGCAGTTAGGTTGTAGGCTGGGATAATTACTAAAGGGTTTTTTGGCCTATATGGGTGTCTAGCAGAACATCAGAGCAGCCTGCAGACACAGGGTGATCTTTGGCTGTGCAGGACTACCTGGCATTCCTGGACCCCCACAGTCAGTGCCATGTCACCCCCTCTGCTTTACAGGATCAGCAGGTGCTCTGTTGAGACTGAACTGAGGGGGCCAGGAGGAAGCAGGGGACCAGGCAGAGGCTACTGCACCAGTCCAGGCCAGGGAGAAGCCATGGGCTTGGGCCTGTGTAGCAGCAGGGAGTCAGAATCAAATGGAAAAAACTCGCCCATGCAAACAGACACCTTTAACTCCTCAAACTGGGGCTCTGCCGAGTATATACCTGTTACTCCATTTCATGGTTTCCTAACTGTTTACTTGTTTCAAGGGCCAGCAAACCGGGAGTGGTTTTTTCTTTCTTTCCACAGAGTGGTTTTGGCAGGTGCTTTTGTTCCTCACCCAAACATGTGTTGCTGTTCCCAGAAATGCAGATTTCTTACACTATCATGGCCAACTGCCTCTAGTGCAGAAAAGGAGTTTTCTTTGTTTTCAGACACTTTACGTTAGGTGTGATCTTTCTAAGCTCTGATTTTGCAACGGTAGCACCACTGTGTGTCTGTCTCTGAAATTTCACCAGTGGAGATGGTTGAGTATATTTTATTTCTGCACTTTCAGCCCAAAGGCAAACCGAGAAGTTGCTGTTTACTTTCTGTTGGATCAGTTTTACAAAGCTCGCTTTGGCTTGCTGGGGTCCAAAGGACTGTCTTTGGTATTGCTGGCTCTGGTTTATGGCTTCTTGCACTCAACTTGAAATACTAGTTAATGCCGATTTTTGACACTCAAATCTTCATCAAATTGCAGGTAGCTCTCTAGCAATCCTCCTCCCATCCCCTCCGTGGCTCGGAGGGCTGGATCTAATTGGAACCATGCTTTACTAATCATAGAAATATGCTAACTGTGCAGCATGGCTGCTTTTCCAACCAGGTGGACCCACACTCCTGAGATGTCCCTTGAGTGGTTAATACCGGAGATGCTTATGAGGGAAGGATCAGAACAAAATTTGTTATTTGAAATTGGAAGAAAATCTTCCCACATGAGTTTCCCTTTCTTACCATGTGCCTCTTGCCATGGTTTCTCCCAGTGCAGACAGTCACACCCACCCAGTCTGGGAATTAGAATGATGTTCTGCTGCTTGGTCACCGAGTCCTGTCCTGTAGACTGAAGTAGTGTCTCCCAAATCTGACTCCTCCCCGTCCCCCTTGCCAGTGCCTTAGCCAGGCTCTCCATTCATTTCCCAGATTAATGCAACAGGTTCCTGACTGTGGTCCCTGCTGCCTGTCTTACCCTCCCATTCGCCCACCACGCTGCTGTCAGACTGAAAAGACTGACACCACACTGTGCCCTCTGAAAAGACTAATTGGACCACGCCACACCCCCTGCTGAAATACTCTTGCTGTGGACTGTAGCAGTGCTATGCCAAGTGTGGCGTGCCCACCTGTGTTACCTGTCCACAAGGAGAGAAGTACAAAAGGGAGAGTAAGTGTCACCCATGATGGGTTGTAATTTTCAGCAGCTGATCCTTGACCAGTTAGTTCGGGGAGCACTGGCCCACAGGGTCAAGGCTGAGCTCCTCAGTACGCATGCAAGGCCCTTCCGAATCCGCTCTTGCCCACCTCTCCAGCTTCAACTCCCTTTTCTTCCAGGAGGTGCCCCTTGTTGCAGCCATAGGTCCTCTCCAGGCCTCAGAGCCATCGGCCCGTGCTTCTGCTGCCTCCCCACCAGCAGCCTGCACTGTCCCACAGGCTCCTATTCGTCTGCTAAGACCCCCTTGCCAGGTTACTTCCTTGCCCCCTCAAGCAGGGGAGCCCCTTCGGCATCTGGGCTCTGGAGGCACTTCCTGCTGGGGGTGTGAATTTTTGTTTACATTTCTCTTCCTGCTGAATTTCTAACTCCTTGAAGGTGGGGTCCCTCGACATCCAGGGATGCTTGGTAAATGTCCGAAACACCTAGTGCCAACTCCAGTCCCAGAACCCTTCTAAGTAGACGTCTTTCAGGAGCCCTGAAAAACACATGAGACTTGACTGTGCCTCCTCAGGATACGTCGTCTGTCACTTGTACCATGGTCACGTTAGTTTTCGTTTCCAGTTTCTGATCGTGGGGATCACATGACTTTTGCGACGTTTGGCAGGAGGTTTCTTTCCCATCCTTTAGGCCATGTGCGCATCCCCTGGAAGAGTCGGAGCTCTGCACGCAGAGGTGTGATGGCAACATGAGAGGGGAAGTTGTGGGAAGGGGAAATTTCGTTAATAGTTCGAATCTCTCTTCTCTTAAGGAATTTTCTAGGCTTCAGATACGCATCGCTACCTTTCTGCCTCATCGCTTAAGCACAAAGAAGTGTTTATTTGCTCTCCATTGTCTCGGAGGACTGAG